TTGAACCCTTTGCGTCTCTCTGGCAAGATGTTCTGCTCCTGAATCAGCTGGGTGGGTCTTGCCTCTAGCCTCTTTGCAGGGAGTTCTGCTGAAGGGTTCCACACTGGGCCTGCACTCTGGTTCTATTCAGGATCCCGCGGCCTTGGTCGGCTCACTCACTCGCAGTACCTGCGCTCCTGGTCTATTCAGGATCCGGAGGGTCCCAGGTTGTCTCACTCTGCCGGATCTGCGCTCTGGGTCTGTTCAGGATCCCGCCAGGGCCCTGGTTGTCTCACTCACTTGCACCACACAGGCTGGAAATTAAAAATCAAGGTGTTCTCTGAGGACTCCATATTTATCTTAAAGACGGCTGCCCTCCTGCCACCTCTTCACTGAGGTAGCACAGCTGTGCTCCTTGCCTGCACAGCTGTGGCAATTCTGCAGCCATGGTCGTGTGGTCTTTTGTACATCAGCAGGTCAGTCTTTAGTCAGAGTAGAGGCCTCTAGGGAATGAGCAGAGACTTTACTCCACAGGTCCCACCTCAGGGATCCTGGTTATGTGCTGCCCATTGCCCAGTGTCTGAAAATACTTGTTTCATGTTTTTTGTTTCTCCAGTAGTTTTTGTTTGTTGTTTGGTTTTTCTTGCCATTTTAAGGATGAAACATAGGCCCTTGCACATCCTAAGCAAAGGGTCTACCACTGAACACCACCCCAAGCCCTTTGTCTAATTTTGTGATGCAGAAAGCAAATGTGACCTCCAGATTCCTGACATGGTTCTGAGAGTAAAAGCTTTACTATCACTGTTTTGTTTTCATTCTTTAAAGTGAAAACATTTTTTAAGTAGTGTAAATTTTTTCATATGCATTTAAATAGATCATCTTCTTTTTTCTGCAGCACCAATTATTCCAAGACAGTTAATACATATTGGTGTTTCTACAGTGGACCAAATTCAATCTCCAAGACTCTTCATTGTTATATTTGTGTAACAAAATGTTCATCATTTTGATAACATAGGAAGAAACCAGTGCAAACTAACAGACTCTGAAGGGAGATCAATTTGCAATGCTGTTAGTTTTGGATATATATTTAGTCTATTTGTTGGGGATACTTATTATTTGACTACTAGAGTTTTATGTTAAAGAATAATAAAATTGGCTTGGCATTTGTCATAATCATTACAGTATACACATAAGGAGGAAACTGTTTCCAGATTAATGTATTGGCTTCCTTATGAATGTAAAGTAATAATTTAAAATTATCCATCCAAATTGTGATGTATTTTCTCTCTCAACCCATATTTATTATTGCTCGTTTAAATCTTTGAGGAAAGTTAGGAAAAATGTTTTAAGTGCCTAATGAAAGAAAAATTGACGTGATCTATGGGTTTACCAAAGTTAACCTTTCTCATTTGTTTCTCTTTGTATGATATCTGGCCTCATCAATAACATATGATGAAAAAAAATTAAGTATATTCCTCAGATTCTTTCTTACAATGAGCAAATTTGTACTTTGAGTCATATTTAAAATTATTTTCTGTATTATAATATGAAAGGCATGGTGTAAATGAAGTATTTTTCTGATGGCTCTTTACATTTGAAATAGTTGGCAAAGTATGCAAAGTAACAGAAATTAACTTAATTAAGTCCTTAAATCCATACATGCAAAGCATTCTTGTTGTTCTGTCCTGCCTGATTTTCCACTTCTGTTGCTGTTTCCAGGAAAACGGTTGGTGTTTTCTGTTGTGGACCAAATTCAGTTTCCAGGACTCTTCACAAACTGAGTAACCAGAACAACTCATGTGGGACAAAATTTGAATACAATAAAGAATCTTTCAGCTGAAAACCTCTGAGTTGAACCAAGACCTTAAACAAAGAATGAATACAGTTTCTAAGATTTGGGGCTCAGCTGAATCAAAGAGTTGTTTTTTGTCAAAGAATAGAAAGGTTTTCTTATTTATGATTATTTAAAATGAAAATGCAGAGCATGTGGTAAGATGACAGGTCACACTACATGCTTAATTTAGAAACCAAAGAGTCCCTGAAGAGTATTTGATGATCAAATTAAAAGATCACAATTAGATACACACTGTTGATTTTTATTGCAGATTCAACACTCCCTGGTGAGGACCTGCACTAGCCTTCTCTGCAGGTAGTCGCTGTGGTTCTCTTGAAATTGTTCTTCACTGACCAAATACAAGGTTGAACAAAATCAAAACTTTGTTGAATCTCAGATTACATTTTCATCATTGTGTATAAGTACAGTAGCTTTAATTTTGGGTTGTTCCAGGCAGATACATTCAGTGTGTGACAGCGCAACAGCCAACTGCGTACTGATACGGGTACTTGGTGTTGCTATCTAACCTTCTCACTGCTGATGCTGATACCGCTGCTCAAGATCTGTACCCTCCATGCTGGTTGACTCTTTTGTAGATGTGGACATAGTACGCTCGTTTACAGCTTTCCTTCCTCTGTTTAGGGAGTTCTGCCCTCCCTTAGCATGACTTAGACACAATGATTTAATAAGTCTGTTCCATCCCAGTTTATATAACCTGTTATAGCACAGTAATGAACCTATCATTGCTATAAATTATAAAGTTATGTATATATCATTTATAGATAAGTAATTGTGTGTGTGTATATATATATATGTTAATGACTTATGTCCTTGTTTTTAGCATATTTGCTTTATTTTTTCACATTTTCTCCCAAGGTGCAATTTGTCTTAGTTTTGAAGCACTTGAAGTGTTTCTTACAATTTGCACTTTTAGACCAAAGAGCAACATATCTGACACCAGGCACTGAGGTGTAAGCTCTCTGCTCGGCCACACATGGATGTCTAATGGAGATACTGAAAACAGTCGCATTCCTGAACAGGCACCTGCTACTTTATTTTCAGAAGCAGCAGAAATACTTCAGTGATTTTTCAAGTTTATCTTAGAACAGTTATATTTTTGAAGCACTATTTGGATACCTTGTAAATGTTTGGTTTATTGTTACCATTAGGAGTATGCTCTGTGATTCTATGAGGTTATGACCCTTGACCATTATGCTCTTTGCCCAAAGGGAGAAATAAAACCCCCACCTTTCTACCTTAAAAATTGAGACATTTATTTAGTTTATTGATTGTGTTTAGTATACACCTGTGAATTACTATTGAATATAACTTACTGTTGAAATCAGCAGTGCAATTTGCCCTACATTTGTTACAATTTTGTGTACAGTGTAACCTGACAAATGCTACTGCCGTTCTGTGACTCCACAAGAGCAATCCAGAGGGCTAAACCATCCAGCTTTGAGGGACCGTGCCGTATTTACTCGTCAGTATTTTTTCTTTTCCTTGGAGTTCTTTCTTCTCCCCTCTGTGGAAAGAGTCAGAAAAAAAAAAGGGACATGTACAATGCTCCTGCAGATTTAGCTCTGAAGACATTTAATGGCCAGTGCATCTTGGTTATACAAGATTAAAAAAGAATTTTGGAAAGCATAGCAGAAATAACTAGAGAAAAGAAAGTTAAACTGTGCTAAAATACTGACGCTTTGGTGGTAAGTTGTTCATGTAGTTATATTAAAGCATCTACGCTCAATCAGACAAGTTTTTCGAAAGACAGCTGGTATTTCAGAGCAGGTCTGCTATGCTCAATGAACGTCCTTTCCAATTCTAAATTCCAGGAGATGTTCAAATGTTAAGTGTTAAACTTAGTTAATTTTTGTTACTATGGATGGGAATGAAATTAAATCGTCACACACTATTAGAGAACTTTGCACTGTTCTAAGGGATTTCATGGGGAAAATTCTTGTCTTAAAAGTCTTAAGTGATTGATTTTAGTCACAATAAATATTAAAATTAAAATGGTGTCTGTACATTTCTTAGCAGCTCATGTTACCTTTGCAACAAATGAAACAGCCACATCTGTTCACAAGACAACAGATGTTTGTCTAAGAAACACAATCTGTTTGTCTGGAATTAGCATTCAATGAACACGAGTGAGAAGTTTAGGAATTTGGGTGCTGGTGCTATTGATATTATGGACTAATTGTGTGACTCTGGCAAATGTCTTCTTATGCTGAGGGTTAGAGTTCTAATTTGGAGCTACCAATTTTTGGATAGCATATGTTTTTCAGCTTGCATAGGATGAAACCATAATCCATGTATAAGTTGTGGGTCCACAGACAGTCTTGAGAACCTCTGGGGGAAATGATTGTCACTCTCATCATTTTGACTCATCCATTTCTTTTGTAAGAAGCTATTAAATTTTTATACTATTGTACTAATAAATTCACTTTCTGGATAAAGAATTCTCTTTGTTCCTAAACAAATATTTCAGTATCTTTTACCAGTTTTGATCTTCTTGGTTCTCCTTATTTATGCAAGCGAAGACTGATTTTACATATCAGTAATATTAAAAGACCTTACATCATCACACATCATACATATAACAGTGTATACTTACAGACATTTGGAGTTGTTTGTGTTTTAAAAATAATCTCATGTAAGAAAGAAGTGCTTGGTGGCTCTCCACTTAGGGACTTGATACTGTCAGCTGGGTGACTATTATTATAGACATTTACAATAGGAATAAATGCAAGGTATACTAAGCATAGGAAAATGTGGTTTAATTTATATAGCCATGCTATTGGTAACTTCCCAAGTTAAGCTTTAGTTTGAGTACTTACAGAAGGTGATAGATTTAAATTATGATACTCTTCAAGAGGTTTGATACAGAATGAAAAGACTCTCACCATCTATAGGAATGCAGATTTTGAAGGACAGATATTTGTAACAAAAGTTTTTAAAAATTTTTTTTTCTTTAAGGATGACTATACTGGATGCCTAGAGATTTTTCTAGACAAACCAATGGGACAAATTTTTAAGTTGACACTTACGTCTTCCTTTTTCTTATGCAGGCTAGAGAGTTTCCACATGCATTCATATTACAGAAATACAAAATGCTGAGGTTAGGAGAATTCTTATTTTGCAGTGGAGGAAACTGAAGTCCAGAGAGATTCGGGAACTTGTTTTGCGACGTCCATTGAGTGTGCAGCAGAGCTGAGCCGGGCACCCACCTGTTTTCATCGGTGCTACTGACTACTTCCACTTTGCATTGAATTATACATTTAACACATTGTTAATTATTATTTAATCTTGTTAGATTGAAGCTCTATAAAATCCCTCTTTGGGGCCAGCAAGAAAGCTCAGCAATCTAAAGCGCCTGCTCATGCAAGCTTGGGCAAGTGCAGGGACAGCAGTTCAGTACCCGGCACCACTTGCTGCACCGGCCACGCCCCCTGGGCGGGCTGAGCTTGCCACAATAAATGAATGAATGAATGAATAAATAAATAACATTAAAAAATAAAATAAATTCTCTCTTTAGTTTTGGGAGGAAAATAAGATAATTTTAGTTACAGATGCAAAAAAATGGCATTCCTCCTAATCTACCTTCTGATTCTAAATTTTTTTGTCTTATATTTTGCGTTTTAGAACCTACTTTCAGCTACCAGTTTTCAATTTAATAATTTTGCTAATGATATTAGATTCTTCAGAGCTTTGTACTGGAAAAATATATAGTAGTAAAGTTTCTAGGAAATGCTAATCCTATAGTGTTAACTTAGATTCGTAGATGAAATTTACAACTTTACCAACTTTTAAACTACCAGCTAAAAAGTTTATATTAATAAACAATTATTTGTATTTGTTTACATGACTGTTACTTGCTTCTTGTCCAGGAGAAAGGAACCTTTTGGAAACTAGTGAGACAGGAGATAATTAAATGAAGCGAAATGAGACGGCATTTTATTCCAGCCGAGGCAGAGCAGTAGGAGCTCACTACTCCCCTCTGTCTTCATGTACCGCCGCTGGCCCCGGCTTCTTTCTTTTACTGCGCTTTATATATAGGCCAGAATTGGGAAAGGACGGCTGAAGTAGCCAAAATGAAGAAGCAGACATTTTCCAATATATGGGAGAATCCATTAAAAGAGACGAGGAAAAGAGTCATAGGGATCTTTTAAACCTACCTTAAGTTAAATAATATTTCTTTAACATAGGTAGGAGTATTTTAAAGATAGGAGGATAGGCAACATATTTAAGAATTAGTAAGTGTATTAAAGTTTTTAAAGACAAAGTAATAAAGAAAAAGAAAAGTTATTTAACATCAGGATATGCCTATACTTCCCTTTTTGTATTTATTATATTACATTGTGTTTATTTTTGGCTGATGGCAGGTCACGTTAATGACAAAATAATCATACCCTGTTTTAGTTTTAGTTATTGATGATGTAAAATATACCTCAAGTATGTGCTTGAACTTACAAAATCAACCACAAGGTGTAAAATTACATAGAAAGCTGTCTGAGCACTTCTACTTGGTTTTGTTTTGGGTGTTGCTTTTCATGTCCTCCAGGAGGACAGCTTCACTTTTGGTCAGAATCATCCAGTTTCTTTCAGAAACAGAGCTTGGATGTTGCTTGACGGAGAGGACTGATGGAGGACGGAGACAAGGACTGCGGAAACTTGAGCGCGCACAGCGGTGCAGAAGAGGGCGTCCTGCCTCCCCGCGGCGGCACACGCTGCTCCTTCAGAGTTTGTCTTTGCAAGGTCAGACTTCGCGGCTGCTCTTCCACCCAGGCAGGAAGCATGCTCTTCCGTGGCGTAAGGGTGCATGTGCTCGCCTGTGGCCACACACGCATGCCAACCTTGTTATCAGTTGGGTGTGATTATATAATCTACGCGAGTGGTGAGAAACCAGCGCGGGGCTCAAAGTGCGGCTTTGCTGACGTGCTGAGGAGCACGCTGCAGCCACCACGCTGCCTAGAGAGAAAGCAGGGAAGTCTCCTCTCTTCTCCGGGTGCCTTAGGTGAATGTGGCTGCTGCACGTGGGCTGAGAGGTGAGCCGTGCTGCCCTCTTCCCTACCGGGCTAGGGGTGTTGCCCATTTGTCCCCCGGGTCCCCAGGCTTTTCGGTCCGCTTGGCATCCCTAAGGACATGGCTGCACAAGCCCGAGACGCTATTGCACTTTTATTTTAAACTGAGGATGCTCTGCTTCACAAAGAACATCACAAGAAATGGCCTTCGCTGTGTTTTATTCTCTACTGTTTAGAAACTATTCTAAAACCTTCAGTGAGGATGGCAGAAATTACCTCAGAAAGTGGAAATAATCGCTTGTGGTGCTGTTTCACTCTGAATATTAGGCAGTGCTGTTAGCATTGTAGCAATCAGGGTGGCTTGTGAGGTGAAGAGGACCCTAGACAGGGTCGGAGCATGGAGAGCCTTCATCCTTGAACTACACTGGAGCTGTGACTCTAAAATAGAAACAGGTCCTGCCTCTGGCTAGTGTATAGGGACGAAGCCTGGGGATGAGAAGGCTGCGGAGACAGAGATTTCCTGGGCATGTTTCTTTGGTCCTTTTTTTAGCAGTAGAATAAAGAACTGCTTTAAGAAAATAAGACATTTTTTCCATTGTGCCTGAAGATCTACTACTTAATTTTGTTATCCGTGCAAGCTGAGAGGTAGTCAATCAGCATCACTGTCTTTGTTGCGAGATCTCCATCCCACAGCCGGCTACTCCTTTGGTGTACTTCAATGCCTTCTGAATTCCTCCAGCTAATTTTGTTTGGGCCCAGTTTTGCTGGAGATAGTTGCATTGATTTATGAGTATTGAATTAGTAATTGTTAGAAGGTGAAAAAATTACCCTGCTCATTTAAGACATCATGGAGGGAAAGTGCATGTTCAGGAGACATTGCATTGAATTAAAGCTATTTCAAATATCTTAGAACTACTAATAATTCTAGCTATTTCCTAGATAGAAATAAAGTAAAATTTTATTGCTTCTGTTACTGAAGATTCTTCACACTGTGTTTTATCCAAAGCTCACATTACTTTGTAGAATTTGTGTTTAAATTGTGTTTGCCCATCTTTATGGAGGACTGTAAGAAAAATTGCTTGAATGGGAATAAATTCTATAACAATTTGTAGTAATGCTTACGAACTTTCCTGGCCCTCGGCGGTGGCACCGTGGGAGGGGTGTCATCCTTGCCATCGGGATGTGAGATGTCTGGCGATGCAGCGTGGCACTGTGAAGTCACGGAGTGCTGGAGAGCACGTGCCGAAGCAGCTCAGCTCATGTAAAAAGGGAAAACTACAATTATTTTTATGAGTTTTATTTCTAAAAAGTCATCATACATTCGTAGAAAATCTTTATTTTTTTAGATTTGGCGGTTAAAAGGTAAGCAGATGTAGTTCATCAGATATAACTGTATCTTCCATTCTAAATTAGTTATGCAACTTTGCTAGTAATAATCAAGAATTTTCAGTAAGATTTTGAGAACCGGATAGTGTAGGTCCTATCCAGCCAATCAAAGGCCAAATAATCCAACTACTCATGCCTCTAAAAGACAATAAAGAAGTAATGTTTAAGAAATGCTCCTCTGAGCCACACCAAGAATGGCCTTCTGTTCAGGCTTATCGGCACTTGTAATTATTCCTTCAGCAGTACATGTAGGTGCAGCTGTACGATTCTTCTCTCCAAACTTAGCATGCTGAGTTTCGGATTTGGGTTTATTTTTTATTTGGTTTTGGTACTATTCTCCACTTCTTATAACTGTGTCCATTAAAAATAATACTAAATATGTATGCATTTTAAAAATGTTAAAATTGTAAGATTTTTTGCACACAAAATCATTAAAATATAGGATGTTCACTATGATGTCTAGTGAATCTTTCTATTTTATAATAGAAGACTTTAAATAAATCTTGGGTAGATTGCATTTATGCCCAGGTAATAGCGTCTGCTCATAGGCATGTTTTCCAGTGTGTTACTATGTCTCTGTTTTGAAGTCTCTGAATGCTCAAAACA